AATGCCCCCCCCCTATAGCAAAAAAAAAAAAAAAAAACAACTCCCCCCCAAAAAAACCATAATCATGAATTTAAGATGGGACTAGTCATCAAAGCTAAATGATTTTCTCCTTCTACATATAGCCACAGATATGTGGGAACCAAACAAGTATGCATTTGAATTTAAACAAGTTGTGTCTTGCAAAAAAGGGAGGGAGATACGAGGAATGATTATAATAATCAGCCATGGAACTCAAGATGGGTAAGAAGAGGAGTAGGAAAAAACTGAGGGATCAACAGACTGGAGATACTGGTGGAGTCAAATAATCACTGAGGTCAGAATTCTAGAGGGAGTGAGCTGGAAAACAGGCAGCAGTGGTCAGGAATCAAAATGTTTAAGACAGAGATTATGTAATTTTGGTAATAAGATCTAGGGAGGGGTTTCTCATTATCAACATACTGACATTTTGAACCATATAATTCCTGGTGTCAGGGGCTGTCCTAGGCATTATAGTACACTGAGCAGCATCCTCTACCCACTGCATGCCAGTAATCCAGCCCCAGTTTATAACAACTGAAAACATCTACAGACATTGCAAAGTTGTTCCTGAATTGAGAGCCACTGGTGGGGCATGACCAAGTGGTAGAGATCACTGGAAAAGAAAAAAGATTCAAGATCTGAGAACAAAGGGAACTGGAAGAACCATCTATGAGTATGTTGCAATTTCCAAGAGTTAAGAAAGGATGCTAGAGAGCACGACACTGAACAGGAACCATAATAGTCCAAAAATAAATAAATAAATAAAGCAAATGTCAGTAGAATACAATTCACAAGAGTGCGTGACATGCTCTGATGGTAAAACTCAAAGCTGATGATATACCAGCTTCATAATAGTAGCAAAGTTACTAGAACTGAGGCTCCTTTCCTAAGGCTTTTTTAAATGTCTAGAAGGTGGGCAAACACCTCCACGTGATTTCATGTTCATGAAATTAGACTCACAGAGTCAAAAATAGGGGTCAGTCAAAAACAATTGGCACCATTTCTGGCTGCCATATATAACAAACAGCTGAAGGCACATATTTTTGGCTGAATACCATCCTAAAAATAGGACATAACATCTTGGTTTTAAAAAAAAAAAATCTCAATTTTCTTTCTGGCTCTTACAAGTATAATACTGCCTTTGATTATAAAAATCTTTCCTAATTATGTTTATCTATTTGCTATAGAGCAATCATAACCCATGTTTTCCTTAGATAACCAATCACCTTAGTCTTCACATAGTCCGGCTATCAGGGAGGACAAAAAGACCTTAATATTGAATGGACTGATTGCAATGTTCTCCAACTGAGCATCACCTGCTCCTCTCACTGCCACCTGGAAAGACATCATTTCACTAGACTGCAAGCAGATTTAGAACAAATGCCCAATTTTCATCCCCACCTCCTAAAGGCATATTCACAAGGGTAGTGCTCACTGAAATTAATAGATGTGTCCCCTTTATAGAAGGAGTAGCTTTAAGATAGAAAATGCAAATGATAGTGTTATTAAGTTCCCTCAAATGCATTCTCATTGCAAGAATTAAGTCCTTAGGCCACAGAGAAGCTAGGCTTACTGAACCACCACAAGCCCATCTGCAGAATTCTACCCTGTGATGGTTAAATTTAAAATTGATACTGCATAAACATAAAGCACAAAGATAACATAAAAGAACCATATAATGAGATTATCTAGTCCCTCTCAATTTATAGATTATTGAATAACACACATACACACACACCCTTTTTTTTTTTCACACCCTTTTTTTTTAAGACGGGTTATGATCCTTCTGTCTCAGCCTTCCAAGTAGCTGGGACTACAAACACATGCCACCACAGTTGGCTTGCAGGGTGGTCCAGGAATCGAACCAGGATCTCCTATATGTCCTCAGCATGTAGAATAGCAGCATCACTTAAATTTCACATAAAACAAGGGTGAAATCTCAAACCAAGTCCCCATAAAGGCATTTGTCAGAGCTCATTAATGATAAAATTATTAGACTTTTACACAGTGCTATTACTACGACTTAGGCATTTTCATGTATTATTTCTAAACTGGATGCTTTCCTATTAAGAAAAAGAAGAAAGATTATCAGAAGAACCAAGATTTAAATCTCAGCTTTTGTTGTGTATTAGCTGTGTTGTGTTACTTACTCTATCTGGTTGCATGTTAACAAATAAGGATAACACTAACTTAACAATTCCTTTGAAGGAAAAAAAAAATGCCCATAATACAAATAGCATAGCTTTCACACATAATAGCTGTTCAATAAATGAACAGTCCTCTTATTTTGTTAATTAAAATAAAACAAGCTATAGAGGATGGAAAGAAAATAACCTGAAACTAGGCCTCTCCTTAGAAGATCAACAAAATATTGTGGTTCCCTATAACAGATCACAAAATCAAGCTCCCAGCTATTATTCTTTATTATTTGAACACAAATTAACACAAAGAACAGGTGCCTACCTTCCAAACTTTCTTGTTCATCTGAAGTATAAACATCCATCTGACTTTGTTCTCGCAAGAAACGAATAACTGCATAAACTAGGTGCTTGATAGATGACATTTTGGAAGCTTAAACACGTTTCCTTGGGAAGAAAAATGAAAAGTGAGCTAGGTTATTTTAAAGACTCAGGAAAGCTATAGAGTTTAAAATTACATTAAAAGTAAACAATTTTGGGGACCAGCAGTTAGTATAATGGCTATGTTGCTGAACTCCCATGTAGTCAACCGTGGTTCGAGTACTGGGCCCGGTGGCTCAAACTCATGCCGGGCATATCTCTCTCTGTTTTTCTGGCGAGGTCATGTACCCTATAGCAAAAACCTCTCCAAAAAAATAAAAAATAACAATAATAAATCATTTTTTTAAAAGTAAACAATTTTTAAAAATCTTATATTACCTTTGCTCTTTCCGAAAAGTCAGGAGAACAAAAATATTTGTTATAGTATTTTTTTTACCTTTATACCCAATAATATTAAACTCCATTAAATGTGGCAGCAGTAAAAATTTTTTTTTCAAAACACATACACTATAAACTTGGACTGTCACCAAAAATCTCACTGTATCTTAACAGTATGAATAGTACACACACAGAAAAATGCAGGGGTATAGATACAGACACAGAAATGCCCCCAGGGCCTCAGCACTAAGTTGAGGGAGGGTTCATACTGCTGACTCAGAATCCGATCCTCACTAAACCTCTTCCTCTATTCCATGAGATTTTAAAAAATGAATTCATTTACCTTCCACCTGATTTTGTAGGTGGAGTGTTATGTACTGAGAAGATACACTGGTGGAAGGTTTTCAACTGTTGAGTGCTGTCATTAATAAAAATGGCATTTGTATTTCGTTGACAGACATGTCGGGGAGTCGATACCCGGGTCGATGCATACTACACCGGCCGGGGCTCTCTGCAGTGGCTGAGCTCTCGTGGACAGGCTGGAAGCTCTGGTCGTGTTCATTCACACAGAATACTATCGCATCCAAACGGTGGCGCAGGGCCAGCCGGCATTAATGGCTTATTTCCTCTAAATCGCATCATCCATCTGCTCCCCTGGTTTCCTAATTCAAATCCAGGGTGTGGTACCCGCCGCTAGGATGTTTATTATCGGTGTACTGATTTTTAAAAGCGAGCGCAGCCTCTAGGCCACGGTGTTATAAGTACTAATAAGGCCCCAGGACAGAGTTGAAAACGGAACGGGGGAAAGGGGATGCGGAGGGGAAGGAAGATGCCCGACCTCCCCCAGGCTGCTCCCGGTCCTCTCCTCTGAGCACATCCACCTCCACCTCCCTCCCCCGGACGCTCGGCCGCGCCTCGGTCCCGCGGGGGTTTGCGGCGGGCGCGCGGTGCAGGCCTCCGTCTGGGGCGGCGGGAGACGCACCCTCCCTG